TAATGCTTGGCCTCTTCTGTGATACTTGGCCTCTTCTGTGATGCTCAGCATCTTCTGTGATGCTCAGGCTCTTCTGTGGTATCGCCATTTTCTGGATTACTTGTCCTTGCACATGTGGTGCTCAACCTCTCCTGTGGTGCTCAGGCTTTTCTGTAGCTCTTGGCCTCTTCTTCGGCACTCAGCTTCTCCAGTGGTACTTAGCACTTTTCTCTGATGTCCAGCCTTTTCTATTGTATGTGGCCTCTTCTATGGTGCTTGGCCTCTTCTGTGCTACTCAGTGTTTTCTGTATTGCTCAGCATGTTCTGTGATGCTCAGCATCCCCTGCAGTGGTCAGCACCTTCTTTGTTGCCTCCTCCGTATTGCTTGTTCTCTTCTGTGATGTTGGCCTCTTCTGTGATGCTCATCCTTTTCTGTTGTTCTTTTCTGTATTGCTTGGCCTCCTCTTTGGTGGTCAACCTTCTCTGTAATGTTTGGACTCCACTGTATTGCTTGTCCTCCTCTGTTGTGCTTTTCTGTACTGGTTAGTATTTTCTGTGCTGCTTGGTCTCTTCTGAGGTGGTCACACTGGTTGGCCTCCTCTGCAATCTTTGAACTCCGCTTTATTGCTTGTCTTCTTCTGTGGTGCTTGGCCTCCTCTGCAATGACCTTCTGTACTGCTTAGTCTTTTCTGTACCACTGGGCCTCTGTGATGCTCATCCTTTTCTGTGGTGCTCTTCTGTACTGGTTAGTCTTTTCTGTGCTGCCTGGTCTCCTGTAGTGTGGTTGGCCTCCTCTGCAATGATCTTCTGTACTGCTTAGTCTTTTCTGTACCACTGGGCCTCCTTTGTGGTGCTTGGCCTCCTCTGTGATGCTCATCCTTTTCTGTGGTGCTCTTCTGTACTGGTTAGTCTTTTCTGTGCTGGCTGGTCTCCTGTGATGTGGTTGGCCTCCTCTGTAATGTTTGGACTCCACCGTATTGCTTGTCCTCTTCTGTGTTGCCCTTCTATACTGCTTAGTCTTTTCTGTGCTGCTTGGCCTCCTTTGAGGTGCTTGACCTCCTTTATGATCCTCAGCCTTTTCTGTAGCCCTCGCCATCCTCCCAGGTGCTGGCTGTATTCTGCAGAGTCTAATCTTTCCTGTGATGCTCATTTTGTATTCTGTAGCATTCTCTTTTTCTCTGTAACTCTATCCTTGCACTGCTTTGTCTGCCTGGACTTATGTCTATAGACATGTCAGTCCCCCTGATGGCTTTGTTTGCTGGAATAGTCAATGGACCATGTTGGATTATCCTGGCCCACCTTTTCCATTTTCCTGAATCCTGCACAGAGGTGTCGACATCAGAGAAATGCAAATTTGTTGTGATCAACAAGAACACAAATATAATTGTATGATGTCTGATTGTCATTCTAAATATGGCAAGTTTTGCTGAATGAGCCCCTTTGTGACCAATCTTCTATAAAACCTACAGCTCAGTGAGATCAGATCCTCCATCATACAACACCGCAGACTGTCGCTATGATGTAGAAGTGGTGGAGAATCCTGAGATTTAATCACAGTGCAGATAAGGGGATATTAGGAAACTCATGTGGGAGGTCTAAGGATAGATGACCCTGAATATCATCCTCTATCATGGATACAACCCTCCTCCTCAGCCACATTCATTCCTCCTCCTTGGTCATGTTCATACCTCCTCCTTGGGCCATATTGATCCCTCCTTTTCGGCCGTATTCATGACTCCTCCTCGGCCACATTCACTCGTTCTCCTCAACCACATTCATCCCTCCTCCTCAGCCACATTTATTCCTCCTCCTCAGCCATATTGATCCCTCTGCCTTGACCACATTCATCCATTTTCCTCGGCCACATTCATTATTCCTCCTCCTAGCCATACTCATTCCTCCCCCTTGCCACATTCCTCCCTCCTCACTGTCCATATTCCTCCCTCCTCTCAGCCATATTGATCCTTCCTCTTCGGCCCCATTCATCCCTTCTCCTTGGCCATATTCATCATAACTCCTTGGCCACATTCATCCTCTTCCTCGGCCACATTCATCCCTCCTTCTCGACCATATTGTTCCCTCCTCCTTTGATACAATCACTCCCTGTCCTGAGCCATATTCATCCTTTTCTTCTTTAGCCATACTCATGCCTTCTCCTCGGCAGTGGTCAGCACCTTCCTTGTTGCCCCGTCCGTATTGCTTGTTCTCTTCTGTGATGCTCATCCTTTTCTGGTAATCTTTTCTGTATTGCTTGGCCTCCTCTGTAGTAGTCAACCTTCTATGTAATGTTTGGACTCCACTGTATTGCTTGTCCATTCATCCCTCCTCCTTGACCATATTCATCGCACCTACTTGGCCATCTTCATCCTCTTCCTCAGCCACATTTATCCCTCATTCTCGACCATATTGATCCCTCCTCCTTTGATACATTCACTCCCTCTCCTCAGCCATATTCATCCCTTTCTTCCTTGGCCATACTCATGCCTTCTCCTATGCTATATTCCTCACTGTTCCTTGGCTACATTCATCCCTTTTCCTCGGCCACACTCATCCCTTCTCCTATGCTATATTCATCACTCTTCCTTTGGCTACAGTCATTCCCTCTCCTCAGCAATATTCATCATTTTCTTCTTTGGCCATACGCATCTCCTCGGCTATACTTATCTGTCACGTACCTGATGGGAGACTGAATTGATGAGGTCGGCCTCACTTGTGTCACTAGCCCTGACCCAGCTGAGGTTGGAACTGAGGGAGTCTAGGGACCAGGGAGACAAGAGCACCAGTGGTTGTTGCTTGCTGCTCTTGCAGATGATGACCTTAGTAGGCAGAGTATCCTCTGATTTGGGCACCGTAGAAATAGACCAGGCAGGTTCTGTGGATTGCCAGATGAGCAGCAGAGCAAGGTAGGTAGCCAGGACACAGGACTGGAGCAGAGTCAAGGATAGCTGGGGTCATAAACAGTCGGGCAGCGTGGTACAGAATCAGAAGGAAAAGCCAAAGTCAGGAGCAGAGCCAAAGTCAGGGGAACCAGGAGCAGGAGAGCAATCGGAGTCGGGTCAGGAACAAGCCGGGTCAGCAACAAAGGAATCGAACAGGAGCAAGCAGGACACGGGGGGAGCTGAAGACCAGTCAGCACTGAGCCTGAGCAGAGGCACTCCTTAAATGGGCCGTCTGGCGCCAATCTTCGCCGTGCGTGTGCACGTGCGTGTGCGCGATCGCTCATTCCTGCCCGCATGTGCACAACCGGCAATTCTTCTACAGGAATTCCTATGCGCATGCGCGTTACCGATCGCGATTCTTCTGGCTGGAAATCCCTTACATTATCCGTCCTCCTCGGCCACACTCATCCCTTCTCCTCAGTTACATTCATCCCTTCTCCTATGCCATATTCCTCACTCTTCCTTGGCTACATTCATCCCTTTTCCTCGGCTACACTCATCCCTTCTCCTCGGCTACATTCATCCCTTTTCCTCGGCTATATTCATCCCTTCTCCTCGCCTACATTCATCCCTTCTCCTATGCCATATTCCTCACTCTTCCTTGGCTACATTCATCCCTTTTCCTCGACTACATTCATCCTTCTCCTCAACAAAGCTCATCCCTCAGCTCTCTGTGAGTCTCACCCAGGCTGTGAAATAGTCAATTCTGATTAGGATCTGAAAGGTCAGGAGAGTCCCCAAAGTATCCGGGAACATTGAAGAATTTTCAGATATGATAAACTAAGACATAGAAGTTTCGGAATAACAATAGGACAGAATGAAAACTTTAAAGAGGTGCTATGATGATTTTTCCATAGGCTAGTCAATGTGTAAGTCATGGTAATGTTGTGTGATATTAGGGCCGCACCTGCCAGCAACATTGTATCAGACTGCAAAAACACACAGGAGGGTGCAAACCTAGTGCATTACCACCATAGATATTTATTGGATCCCAAAAACAATTGCATACTCACAAGTATTGTAAGGAAAAGATGTATCAAATAACAGCTCTAGCCATATGGTGATGTCATCTGACTACATACAACAGTTGGGGGGCTGACACGTTTCGGGGGACGCACCCCCTTCCTCAGAGCTGACAACTCTGCATCTTTTCTGTGGCTGTCAGTAGCTGGTTACGATGTTTGTCTCTGTGGCTACATCTTGGCAATGTGGTCATCACGCAGTGGGAAGGGCTTCTAAGGCAATTCTGTATTTCTAAATGCTGCTAAAAATCCATTGATGGTGAGCTGAGCTACAAATCACTGGAATCGCTGCAACTCCAACCTTTCATCAATTCAATTCTTCATAGCAACAAACACCCAAATCAGTGCAGAGACATACAAACCACTCTCCTGACATTAACCACTTGCCCTCCTGAGGATTTACCCCCCCTTCCTGAGCAGGCTATTTTTTGTGTTACTGCGCTGTGCTTCTTTAGCTGACAATTGCGCGGTCATGCAACGTTGCACCCGAATGAAATTTACATCTTTTTTTCCTCCCACAAATTGAGCTTTCTTTTGGTGGTATTTGATCGCCTGTGCATTTTTTTTTTCTGCACTATAAAAAAAAAGACCGACAATTTTGAGAAAAAAAAAACAATATTTTTAGCTTTTTGCTATTAAACATGTCCAGTAAAAAATTAAATAAATCAAATTTCATCACAAATGGCCAAAATGTATTCTGTGACATGTCTTTGCTAAAAAAAAAAAAAGAAATGTGTGTAAATGTTGGGCAGCACAGTGGCTAAATGGTTAGCACTTCCACCTGGCAGTATTAGGGTTGTTGGTTCGAATCCCAACCATGGCACCACCTGCCTGGAGTTTGCATGTTCTCCCTGTGACTGCGTGGGTTTCCTCCCACACTCTAAAGACATGTTGAGAGATGAATTGGCTCCTGTCTAAATTGGCCCTAGTATGTGTATGTATGAATGTGAGTTAGGGACCTTAGATTGTACACCCCTTGAGGGTTAGGGACTGATGTGAGTACAATATATATGTAAAGTGCTGTGTAAATTGACGGCGCTATATAAGTACCTGAAAAAAATTTACGTGAAAGTTATAGCATTTACAAATGGCAGAATTTTTCTTATTTTTATTTTTACTAGTAATGGCGGCGGGACTGTGGCGAGCATTCTGACACTGGTGGAAACTGACTTGGTGTCACTGACATCCCCAGTGAAACCAATACAGTGATCAGTGTTAAAAAAAAAAAAACACTGACAGTGTACTAATGACACTGGGCAGAAAGGGGTTAACATGAGGGGCGATCAAAGGGTTAACTGTGTGCTGAGTGTGTTTTACTATGGGGCCGTGTGTTTGTGCTTCACTGTAAGCACACTACTTTGTATGGCCGTGCTGTAGACAGCCATGCAAAGCAGTGTGCATGATCTGAAAGGGAGGAGAACTGTTTTGTTTACAAACAGTTCTCCTCCCTGCCGGAGATCCTGGGCAATCAAAGGGTTAACTGTGTGCTGGGTGTGTTTTACTATGGGGCCATGTGTTTGTGCTTCACTGTAAGCACACTGCTTTGTATGGCCGTGCTGTGCACAGCCATGCAGAGCAGTGTGCATGAGCTGACACGGAGGAGAACTGTTTTGTTTGCAAACAGTTCTCCTCCCTGCTGGAGATCCTCGGCAATCAAAGGGTTACCTGTGTGCTGGGTGTGTTTTACTATGGGGCTGTGTGTTTGTGCTTCACTGTAAGCACACTGCTTTGTACGGCCGTGCTGTGCACAGCCATGCAAAGCAGTGTGCATGAGCTGACAGGGAGGAGAACTGTTTTGTTTGCAAACAGTTCTCCTCCCTGCCGGAGATCCTCGACAATCACCGGGCGCCGCCGAGTAATCACCGGCCAGGACCCGTGATTGACAGCCGCAACCGTGAATGGCCTATTTGTGACTATTTACAAGAGGGCCATTTATAACTGGGCCATTTACAAGGCCTCTTACATCAAGGCCAATTATAAAAGGTCCATTTACATCGAGGCCATTTACAATAGGACCTCATCAGAAGTTATTTGAAGTCCCTGAACTTATTAACCTTTATAATGTCTCTGTATTCCTAATAAAGTCTTGTCCTTTTTTAATGTTTTCATTTCTATGACCACTTAGGTACAGACGGGAGATTTCAATCTGACCATCTTGTTGCCGACTTTTGAATTTTGGGATAATGAGGGTGGCATATAAGTAAAGGATTGTACACACAGCACACAATTGATGATATTTAATCTTCACATTTAAAGGAGCAGCATGGTTCAGCCAATGACAGAGCTCCTCCAGATTGTTACATTGTATTTCTTCCTTTTAATTTCTCTTTGTGGAATTTCCTCTAATGGCCTGCAACCATCGCCGTTGTTACACTCTTTTCATGAGCCTTCGCCTTTTCTGCCTCTAAGCTCCTTTTTCATCCTTCCCTCTTCGATTGCGACTCATTGAAACCCCTCGCCATTCGCCCCCCGCCATGTCTATGAAAGAGCCGTGAATTCAGAAATGTTTTGTAAAGGTTTTCATCCTTTTAGGGATGTTGTCAGTTCAGCCTCCCCGCTGTACAAAATTGGCACTTTGGAGCAGAGAGGGGGCGTATAGATCTCGACCCCCAGGTATGGAGGAGGCGGTAAGGGGGGAAAAGTGCCGCACTTTACCGTTCTGCAAGGGGGGGACCTTAGATGGAGTTATTGCACTGCAGCCCAGAGCAGCGTAGCCTGGTTGATTGTAAGCCTTGTTGCCAATTGCTCTGGGTCACGGGAGGTTAATGCGTCCCTATCCAAGAGGACCAAAATACTGAAATTGTGGGATTTTCCCATACAACACAGCAAACACAAAATGAAGCCCTCATTGCTGAAACTTTGTTTTCTAACTGCTGTAAAATAACGGTTGCAGTGTATAACTTACAGAGCAGCTCCTGGGATTGTAACTAGTGTTACTCTGCCCTTAGGATGAAAAGAGGACCTGTCATAGTAGTAGTACAAACATTCAGAATAATTACACCCAGCATACAGGACAAGAGAAGTGCTACTGGGCACAGTCCATGCATACAGAATAATGACAGATACCGAGAATTACACCCGGCATACAGGACAAGAGAAGTGCTACTGTGCAGAGTCCACACATACAGAAAAATGACAGATACCGAGAATTACACCCGGCATACAGGGCCAGAGAAGTGATACTGTGCAGAGTCCATACATACAGAAAAATGACAGATACCGAGAATTAAACCCGGCATACAGGCAGGGATGTATTTACCACAAGGCAAATAAGGCACTTGCCTAGGGTGGCATTTTTCAGGGGGGCAGCACCTCCCCCCAGAAGAAGGGATGAAATAAGGGACACACGTGCCATGGGAACCAGGTGGGATCTGAGAGAGGCTGCGGCTGCTTGATGGTGTATGTAGAGCCTGACTCTCGTTCCCGGGGATGTCTGGAGCTGTGAAGATGAGTGTCTCTCTCTATTGCCGGGGGGGGGGATTGGGGGGTAGTGGAAGACTCTCCCAGGTGGGGGGCAGGGGTGTTGTTGGTCAATGTCAGGCTGTCCCTGCTGGAGGGGGTGTGGGGGTGTTGGTTGGTGTCCGTGGGGGCAAACGATTTTTGTGTTGCCTAGGGCAGCACAAAGTCTAAATACAACACTGCTTACAGGACCAGAAAAGTGCTACTGGGCAGAGTCCATACATATAGAATGACAGATACCAAGAATGACACCGGGCATACAGGACCAGAGATGTGGTACTGGGCAGAGTCCATACATACAGAATAATGACTTAGACTGAGAATTACACCCGGCATACAGGACCAGAGAAGTGGTACTGTGCAGAGTCCATACATACAGAATAATGGCAGATACCGAGAATTATACCCGGCATACAGGACCAGAGAAGTGGTACTGTGCAGAGTCCATACATACAGAATAATGACAGGTACCGAGAATTATACCCGGCATACAGGACCAGAAAAGTGGTACTGGGCAGAGGCCATACATACAGAATAATGACTGAGACTGAGAATTACACCCGGCATACAGAACCAGAGAAGTGGTATTGTGCAGAGTCCATACACAGAATAATGGCAGATACTGAGAATGACACCCGGCATACAGGACCAGAGAAGTGGTACTGTGCAGAGTCCATCCATACAGAATAATGGCAGATACTGAGAATTACACCCGGCATACAGGACCAGAGAAGTGGTACTGGGCAGAGTCCATGCATACAGAATACAAATTATACCCAGGTTGCAGATGACAGTGGCTGGTGATGATCATTGATTTATTATAATGACATTATTCTGGTCTGGCAGGATTTGGATTATGAGCGGGTTCGGGAATATCACCTTGTGGTCGTGGTGAAGAACACGGTGGAGCTGCTCGGGGTGGAGTACGGTCCCAGCTCTACAGCCTCCATCATAATCTCTCTTAGTAATGTCAATGAGGCCCCAGTCTTCACAGAGGAGAAATATGAAGTCCAAGTATTGGAGAACACTCCGCCGGGGGTGCTCATCTTGACTGTGTCGGCCTCTGATGCCGATATCTATCACCAGGCCAGCCTCAGGTAAGTGGGCGGCAGTCCTGGCTACAGTGTGCGAGGGAGGGGCCCACTAGGCTGATGTCTATGGACGCCTTTATAAAGGGGCTCATAATGGTTCTTCTCCAGATGTGTCACCTGATACAGCTTAAAGGGTCACTCCACCCAAAAGGGTTGATGGCTTACCTTCTCCAACTCTGATTGGTCCAGGCAGAGAGGAAGCCATATTTACCGCAGTTCAGTGTTATCAGACAGGATAGATAATTAGGCAGCTTTAAAGGCAAAACCCTTTAAAAAGTACCTGTGATTCAAAGCAGTGCTGTTCAGCCAGTCTTAGGATTTACTACGCTATGCTGCATAGCCAGACAGGTGACACCACTCTACATTGGTTGCAGCTCCCCGGTTCCCTGTGTCAGGTTCTCACATCTGGCCACCATTACTGATGAGGTCCTCGATGTGTTCTGCTCCTCCTGTGCACTGCCTAAAGACTTCCCCTACTAGTACCCAGTGCCTGAAACATGTTAGATCAGCAGCTACTGTGCAGTTCAATATTACATATCACTGTCGTATCTTTAAACCTGCTTGTTGGGTGCCGGTGTGTGCAGATGATAATGGGGAGATAATATAAAGACAGATGTCAGGAAGTTATATGTGTTGTGAATACATATGATAAATTGTAACAAATATGTAACTTCAGGTGTCTTTATATCCGCCCAGAAATACTCTCCGAGGATCCGATCATCTCACCATCTACAGGAGAAGAATTCTAAATTATGAATAGAAAGTGTTCAATTACCATCGACCCGTACTATATAAAGATCCCCTCCCCCACCCGAGCCAGAAATATTTACAATTCTGGATCAATAGTTCTGTGTTTGTAAAACTGAGACTGATGTGACTGGCTCGGTGTTCTCTGTACGCCACCACAGAATATGTCAGAGCTACAGTCAGGTCCATAAATATTGGGACATCAACACAATTCTAAAATGTTTGGCTCTATACACCACCACAATGGATTTGAAATGAAATGAACAAGATGTGCTTTAACTGCAGACTGTCAGCTTTCATTTGAGGGTATTTACATCCAAATCAGGTGAACGGTGTAGGAATTACAACAGTTTGCATATGTGCCTCCCACTTGTTAAGGGACCAAAAGTAATGGGACAATTGGCTTCTCAGCTGTTCCATGGCCAAGTGTGTGTTATTCCTTCATTATCCCAATTACAATGAGCAGATAAAAGGTCCAGAGTTCATTTCAAGTGTGCTATTTGCATTTGGAATCTGTTGCTGTCAACTCTCAAGGTGAGATCCAAAGAGCTGTCACTATCAGTGAAGCCATCATTAGGCTGAAAAAACAAAACAAACCCATCAGAGAGATAGCAAAAACATTAGGCGTGTCCAAAACAACTGTTTGGAACATTCTTAAAAAGAAGGAACGCACCGGTGAGCTCAGCAACACCAAAAGACCCGGAAGACCACGGAAAACAACTGTGGTGGATGAGCGAAGAATTCTTTCCCTGGTGAAGAAAACACCCTTCACAACAGTTGGCCAGATCAAGAACACTCTCCAGGAGGTAGGTGTATGTGTGTCAAAGTCACCAATCAAGAGAAGACTTCACCAGAGTGAATACAGAGGGTTCACCACAAGATGGAAACCATTGGTGAGCCTCAAAAACAGGAAGGCCAGATTAGAGTTTGCCAAACGACATGTAAAAAAAGCCTTCACAGTTCTGGAACAACATCCTATGGAGAGATGAGACCGACATCAACTTGTACCAGAGTGATGGGAAGAGAAGAGTATGGAGAAGGAAAGGAACTGCTCATGATCCTAAGCATACCACCTCATCAGTGAAGCATGGTGGTGGTAGTGTCATGGCGTGGGCATGTATGGCTGCCAATGGAACTGGTTCTCTTGTATTTATTGATGATGTGACTGCTGACAAAAGCAGCCGGATGAAATTCTGAAGTGTTTCGGGAATATTATCTGCTCATATTCAGCCAAATGCTTCACAACTCATTGGATGCCGCTTCGCAGTGCAGATGGACAATGACCCAAAGCAGACTGCA